CTTCAAGATTTTTCAATCCTTGTATATAATTTTCATATATTTTTAAAAATTTTCATTATGAAAAAACTTCAGGGTTTTTTATTATAAAAATTTTTCCTTATAAAAATTTTCGAAGATCTTCGAAGTTTTCCAAAGATTTTTTTCAAAAATTTTTGAAAATTTTTTTATGGTGAAGATCTTCGGAAATCTCTGCCAAAAAATTTTTCTGATGTAAATGATCTGCAAAATTTTATATGCTAAATACTTTAGGGATCCATCCTTAACTATGGACCATTGTATGTATTTTGATACTTTTTATTTGAGAGGATGAATAGTATATTAGGTAGGTTTTTAAACAAATTTAATATTCGGAAGTAGAATTCTAATAAATTTTTAATCTAGGTTCATTGTTTAATAATAGTCATTGAAATATTGAACCTGAATTAAATGTAAAAATTGATGAATAATCATCAAATTATCAATCTAACTATGTCCTATACTAATAATCAAGAGCTTGAAATTTTAAATAATTGATTAAATATCGAGTTAATTTTCAAACTAGATTAGTTTTCGGCTGACAAGTTATATTGATTTTTAAATAACACATATAATATTCACAAAACAATAATCAATGGATCCGAACATTTTCCAAGTGAACTCTTGCACCTGAAAAAACTAAATTTAGAGGTATCTGTTGAAATATTAGATCTATTAGTTGAATACTATGAGGCATATTATGAAATCATGAACTTTTGAAAGCCATTTATGAAAGATAATAAAAATTTGATAATTATTTGGAATAGAGTAGATCAATATAGTAGATGCTGAATTGGGAGTGAAATATTTGATTCTATTATGTTCTCACGAAATATTAAGGACTCATTTATATTAACTAGATTCATAAATTACGATGGAAGTGTCGATTTATATCCGGGACAAGTTCAATTCTTCTTTACATATTCAGCAAACTTTCTGAATAATGTTATTGAACATCATTTGACCTTTATTCAGTGGTACAAACCAGTTAATTTGGCAAAAAATAGATTTTATTTCAGATTCAAAAATGATGTGAATATTGAATTGTGGAATACCGAATTTTATTCAGTTAGACGTGAATGTATAATCCCTATTCATAATATTTTTGGTCGATTTATTTCATTTAGATATAGAACCTTAAATTGGCAAGACTCTTACAAATATTTAGTTGTAATTCCTCTAAATTGTAAATATAATATATAATTAAAAATTCAGCAAATGCATGAATTTTGACAAAAATTGAAATTTTGATGAATATCTAATGATTTTTTGAGGAAAAATTTAACAAAATATATAATAAAAATGGTACAAATATAGCAAACAATATCAAATTATATAGTGGAAATTGATTGATAATTTAAATTTTGTGCCGAATTATATAATAAAAATTGATTGATAATTTATTTATGTTATTAATATATTGAATTATTTGTTTTTTTGATGAATGTTACATGAGTGGCATCATATCGAATAAATATTTTTTGACTAATGTTAAATTTAAATTGAAATATGTAAATAATTAACTTCTTATATTATTCTTTCTCTAGTGATTTGTAAATTTTTGGATAGTATAGAAAAATGTTAATTTCAATTATTCTTAAATATAATCTTTTATCAATAAAATCCAAACAAAATATAGAATAAGTTAATTTTTTTAAAAAAAAAAATCTTTTTTACAAATAAAATAAAGATAAGTTATTTTTTTTTAATTTATTATTAAAATATTAGTATTAAATAAAAATAAATAAATTATTAATAAAATTCGATTGCATTTTTTTATAAATATATTGTATTTCATACTGTATACGGTTTGCTTTTAAAAGTTTGAATCCATTTACTATATTTTTATTATGAATTTTGACTTTTCCAATTTTTAAATTTAATTATATGATTAAAATTTATAAAATTTATATATATTATATCTTAATACTCATTCTATTTCTCATATTTTAAAAAAAATTTTTTTATAAATAATTTTAAAAGTTTTATTATTGTTGAATATTTATAATTTACAATGATAACTAATCAAAACCCTTCAAAAATATAATTTTTAATTGTATAATTAAGAATTTAAAATTGATAAAGTTAATTCTTGTATTACCACGTTTCCTTTATAGGCAACTTTGTTAATACGAGAAACAAAAAATTTTCGAAAGATAAAATTTTGTTTATTTATATTTATATATATATAATTCCTTTTTATGACATGCAAACTTTACATATTTTAAATGATGGAAAAACTCGTTTAAAATGAATTCAATCCCCTCATCGTATTAGGTATTCATGTAACCTTTCTTCCTCGTTTTTTTGTAAGATTAACTTTATTTCTTCGTTGGTTTGTTCCTCCTTAATTTTGTACCACGAAGCTATAATTTAAATTTGATAAACATGAATAAATTGATATCAGAAAAAGAATTTGAAACTTGGTATAGCACGTACCAACTGAGCCGACAACTTGTGGACTTCTTATGGCTACCACTTCGTCGATTTCCCTCATAAACATTTTCTTATTGTGAAGAAAAAAAAAAAAATTTTTTTTATGATAAATGTCAAAAAAAAAATAAAAATAAAATAAAAAATAAATAAAAATAAAAATTTTTTTTTACCTGAGAATCAGAACCAATAACACCGGCAATTAACACAATCCTTCCACGATAGCCAATCGTTTTCAGTAGTGTAATGGCTGCTCGGGCGTTCTGGCCGCTCTGGACACCATCGGTGGCCAATAACACGGTGGCATTCTCAGAATTTGGTAATGGATAGTTTGGTGGGCAACACTGGGATTTTAGAGTTTCAAGATGAATTCGCTATTTTTATTTAAAATGTAGAGATAATGAATAAACTTCCGAACATGACATGGCGAATCACAATAAACAAATGAAAAATACCTCTTGTCTGACAATTTCATCAAGTTGCTTCTGGCCAAAATCGCATCCACTATTGGTCAAAGAAATTTTACACGATAAGAAATAATGACGCGATTGATGTTAATAGATGTTACGATCATCCTTGCCTAATGATCTGATCTTTGTACAACGGTTCATCAGCCCTGTCCGTGATGGCACCAACAGTCAGACCATCGATTTTCAGTGATCTTATTAGGAATAGGTCTAAGGGAAGTCTCAATCCTTTTGCTACTTCGGAGGCCAAAGGCATCGCCGAGGGCTTTATGCAGAGAACAACTGTGGAAGATTAAAGTAAAGTAATCGGTAAAAGAAAGAAAGAAAGAAAGAAAGAAGGAAAGGGGTTGAGAGGGTGGTTACGAGGATTTTTTTTGAACACGCAACACGTACCGGTATCTTTTTTCTGAGAATAATAACTCAACATCCTGGCAAGCATCTTACCAGCCTCCTTCTGTGATGAGAGGGGCGAAACCTTTGCGCAGGACTGCGGAATGATGCGAGGTGATACGTTCAGGATTGGAGACGCGAGCATTTTGTTATAAATTGTTTTCGGCTTTTACTGAAGTTGATATATTGGCAATGTTTTCTGCTGAGAGGTTTTTTTTTTTTTTTTTTTTTTTTTTGAAAAAGTAAAGACGAGCACTTTCATTCGAGGCATATTTATACTTAAATTCAACTACGTATTGTAAATTATAACCGAATCATGATATTCTAAAAGAAAGAAATATGAACATACGGTACGTACGTACGTATTTGATCATTTACTACGCAGATAGAAAAACCAAGATTGCCTAGACTAACCACTTATAGGACTTAAAAGTGGTACGCACGTATAATAAGTTACATATATTGCAAATAAATCTGCAGAATTATCATATCATAATTTTTGTGCATAATCTTATCTAAAGTTTCGTCATAGAGGGGGTTACACGGAAACCAAAAATCACGATATATGCGCTGCACCATTTTTCCCTCTTGTACGACGATAAGGAGATTTTGACTTTATTAATAATAACTTGCGCCTAACTTGTAATATGGCTGTGATGAGTTTTTTTTTAAGAGGATATGTAAGTAGTTCAACGATTGGCATTCCTTTATTCTTTGGTGAGAACATTCTATATTTTAAATAATTGTGCCGTCTGTACGCATGTACACCGATGAATGGGAATATTTAGGACAATGCACACGAAATAGCCTCAAAGTTCACCTTTTAAATGGTTTTTTTTTTTTTTTTTTATAAACAGTTATAAAAAAATTTTTTTAATATTGGAAACGGTGGTATTAAAAAGTACCACACACATTATATATTTATTTATTGATTGATTCTTATGATTTTTATATTTTATAATATTTGCCATAATAAAGGTCCCACAGTAGATTAACTAAAAGTGAAAATGAAATATTGAGGTCAAAGAAAGATTGAACGCGCGCTAATTTAGGGATCTGCTTTTTAAATTAAATAACCGGGGATATATCAGACGATTAGATGGGCAGTCACACCAAAAGGGGGGTTCCCCATATTAACTAATTCTATTTGCAGGAGTCATCTACTTTATACACTAATGATCTTTATTTGATCGTGCTAAAGGAAATCCTTTTCTGACTTCTTTTTCTTTTCTTTTTCCTGATAAAATTATAGATTATCTTGCTTCTGTCTTCATGTACCGTATAGCCAATGGTACCATTAAAGCTTGATCCGTACTTTAATAATTGCGTAATGATTTTAAGCGATCGAGTATCTCACGATCCGCAATTAACCATCTGATTCCATACAAATTGGAACTTTCCCACAGTTACTTGCTTATATGTTAAGTAGCCCCAGGAACTCAAGTTTCTCATACTTGCCGATTCCAAGATCACATCGTACATCACATCCTTTACGACAGTTAATTTATTTCGGACAATAGGAAAATCCTTGGAGTAAGGAGAATTATAATGAAAGCATCGTCCTTAATAGGCGTACACAAGAAACGTCTCGGGCATCAAGGTAAAAATCTAATACCTCATACGTAATAAGATGGCAGGCACATATTTGGAGTAAAGATTTTCCGTGAATAAAATATAAAGCAGGTAATAATTTGTCCGTGTGAATCAGCTCCTGAACCTATCTACTACCATCCCCGAACCAGGATTGGGATATAGAAGAACCAGACATCGAGGTAACTCGCAAACGTATTTCATGCATCTGGGAACAAATGAAAGATAGGGTTATTGTTGCCCATTACGCTTCTCTTCGCTCAACTTGCGGAAGACACACACTATTTAGTCAGAATGTTTTAAACATACTGGCGTAATGATGAAAAATGCGGTTTTAGATGGTTGAAACCCGAAGAAATCCTAGAGCTCTTTAATGAAAGAGTAATTGTGAAATTACGGTATATTCTCAAAGTGAAATAAAATTCATCGGAAAAGAATATGCGGACAATTATGACGAGATTAGGGAAAATCAATCTAATTCTATTTTTGCCACTGTACTCTCGGGTAAGTATTATTAATAATGTCTGTTTTACAAATGTTGCGTACAAATCTTCCGTGTTTACACTTAATCGTTCAACACGGATTGCATGTGTTTAGCCACATGATTGCGATTAAACAAGTTGTACCCGAATGAAGGTGGTACACGAACTCTTATCGCTGGTGATTAATAAAAAACCTCCGCGAATAACTGATGTTAGGTTTAATACCAACCACTCTGGAGTAGAATTGTATCAAGATTTTTATGATGAGGATCCTATCATAATACCACAAATGTTAGATGTGTATAAGATCAAGATGCTTTACATGTCCGCAACATTTCTAAATGACCCAACCAGAAAGATTATTTTATTACGCGGAAGATTACGAGCTAGGAAAGTTTTCAGTATATTGAAAAAAAAAAAAAATAATAAATCCTTTTTTTTATTAATTAATACCAGCAGAAAAAAATAACATAAAATCAATAATATACTGTATATAATGGTTTTTTTAAAAATCCGCTTTCGCCGGCGAAAATTTATCATGATGTCCAAAAAATAATTACATCATTAAAAATGAAAGCGAAAATTGTATCTTGAAACATAAGAATTAAAAAAAAATAATAAGGCGACTCGAACGAAAGAGTAGTCTGAATTGAGTTACATCACAGTGTAATGCCTCGCGTATTGCACTTCATAGAGCTACCACCAGTGAGCCACGTTTAAATAATCCACGATTCCATCTAATCAGTCCGAGGACTTCATACTTAGAAATCAGGAAGATGACGTTTCTGGTTACTCACTACTCATTTTCATGAGTGTCTCCGCAAGAGACAATTTGGTTTTTCTCAGACCTTCCCAAGGGTTTTGTTAAACTGCGAAAAAAAACACAGTCCGTATGTTTTCCCTTAACGCAAGCTTTCCGTTCGAGTCGACCGAGGAAGAATTGTGATTATCCTTATTCTCTAGAACAATAAAAAATCAAGTGTCGAATAATTTTAAAGGTATGTGTCGTACAAATATATATTGATAAAACAATAATTTCTCAAAGTCCAAAACAACTATGAGATAGTGGTCGGAAGAAATTAATTTAAATAACAGCTAGATATCATAAACGCTAATGTCGAATAAATAAATTTTTAATTCAAAGTTTAAGTCTGCACAAGACGTCTCCTATTCTAAAACCACCATAACTTGAGGCCTTCTTAACTGAGAACATCCACGGGTAGTTTCCTTTAAATTCAAAAAAAAAAAAGACGTCAAATAGAATCAATAATCTTACCGCGTCACTTTAGTAAACACTCACCTTGTGAAAAAAAAAAAAAAAAAAAAAAAAAAAAATTTTCGTTTTTCAAATGTAATTTGACCAATTAAAAGTTTTTATGATGTCACGTGAATTGATTATCTTTAGATTTTAATCTACACCTCCATATACTGCATATACCGCATATTCTGTATGACTCCCTAAACCTATGTACTGTAAATTACATTGATATTATCGACGTGCGATAAACTGAATAAAAGATTATATAATTCAAATTAATAATAATTATTGTGTATTCATCATAAACCATAACCTCCCGTCAAATCAAACTTCACTTTATTCGTTATCCATATGCAAACCGAAAGAACACGCGACCCTTGCTGCCAATTTTCTCCTCTCTACATCAGAGAGGGCCTTGCCGCGCTCTGCGCATCAAGATAACGATGTGTTTTGTAAGGGCCTAATATAATCGTGCGATAAATGGAAGAATGATGGTGCGAATGGATGTACTACCTCGTAAGTCATTTAACCTAGCGAGAACTTTGTCGAGTCCATCCTCGTCATCAAAATCACCAAAGATGTGATGATGCATGGATTCTATTTCTTCTCGAGAGGGTAAAGCTAAGCGGATAGAAGCATACAAGTTATTTCTAGAACATTGCAAAAATTCGAATTCAAAAAAGGTCTTCACACCATCACCAAAGAACTCGGCGTCATTGTCATCAAAAGGTGCCGAATTATGATCTTTAAATTCAGGTGTCGACTCCTGGTGAGCGTCACCGTCTTTGCTAGTTTCCGATACGCGAGTCATTTCTTCCCACATGTGGGACTGTAGTGCCTCCAAAATTCGTTCTATTCCAACGCGTTCTGCAACTGTCAAGATTGATAACAATTATTAATATAATGATGGATCCAACATTCGCGAAGCGGAATTGCAACCCTTACATTCATCGTCTCTTCCCTTTGCATCCAAGTCAACATACTCAAACCCATTATCCAAACACCAATCCTCGAATGGGTCATCATCCTCGTTGGCCAATTCTGCTGTGTCACGTTGGATATCTTTTCCGGTACCCACTGCTAGAGTGATGGACGGTTTGTATTTTTGTATGAATGTCAGATACGCTTGAATGTCATCAAATGTTGATGGCTGTTATGCAAATGCGATTTAATGACGGTCTCACGAGGGATGTCGCAATAAAAAAAATCTAGGCGTACCTCGTCTTTTCTAAATACAAATAAAATTGCATCTACAACATTTCCAATCCCATTTTCTTCACCCTCATACCCATTTATAACCTCGGAATCCAGTTGACCTTTGTGAACTGTTTCATCAACCCAAAACTCCACATTTGCCGTATAATACTTTGTCATGATTTTCCACGGCACCCTTATTCCTGCATGATTCGAAAGGTCAATCGGATCCGATTTTATTACATCCATCCTTTGATTTGAACAGGACAAGATTTCTGCATAAAAGTTGCGAGGTATCAAAAAACCATATTCCGAGTAAAAGAAACTTCCATCGGGATATGCATTATGTATTTACGTTTAATGACCGATAATTTCCCTACATCTCGACGCCCTAGCACAAGAATCTTATTCCGTATCAGAGAAGCAGCAGACATCATTTTTTATTCTAAAACAGTTGAAACAAACAAACAAACGCTTATATATACGTATGCGTGTGTCACGTGAAATGTGATGCGCACGTATGGATGAAAAAATTTTTGATTATCGTCACTCGATTTCTTCACCACTGCGTAGCATTCTAAAAGGAACATCATACATAATAATGCTCAGTCGACCCTTACACACTCTCAAGCCAATACTTACGTCTCACAATTATGGTGCATCGACCTTTCTCTTGCAAGGATTACGTAAAAGATGCCCGGCGCGAATGTTTCATGGCAAGTGCACTCTATTGAAATTCTCGGGTAAAAAACATTACACGTTCCTTTCTTCATAAGAAATTTGTTTACATACAGCTACGCAAAGGTTTAGGTCGATTGACGTTGCTCCCCAGAGTGTTACCAATTCCACCGTCGAAATACCCATTGGACCAGCCGCGTCGGAGGCAACCTTACAGCCCAGGGCATCAACAACATTAGACGATAATAAATCATCGCTTCAACTTGACAATCCGCTTATAGCATACAATCGTCGGTTGGACAATTTTAGGCGTAGCTCAAAATATCTTGCAATAAGGAACGTTTGTGAAGAGATGCAAAGGAACAACGTGAAACCAGACTTGTTAACATACAATATATTGTTATCGGCATATGAACCGCTTGGGAACGTGCCGGATTCTTTGAGGTTGCTGGACGACATGGCTTCGGCCGGCATAGCTCCTGATATAACGACCTATCACATTTTATTGAGGGTAACTAAACCTGCTTCAATCACATCTACTTCATTGCAAATGATCGCCTGCTTATTTACTGTCCATATCTAAAGACATGCGCAAGTGCACCGCGTGTCTCTCAGGATGCATATTATCGAGAACTCATTTTTGACATGATTCAGAAGGATTGGAACCTGCAACCAAATATTGTCACGTACGAGTGTTACCTGGATGCTTTGTTGTCCAACGGAGAACTTGAGCGTGGCGTGGAATATTTGGAATCCCTGAAAAGCAAAGACATTCAACCAACGGTTAAGATGTATGGAAGTGTGATCCAATCGGCCATCTCGTATGGAGCAGTCAGTGAAGCGTTCGAATTGTTAAAGACGGCAGAAAATGACAAGTTACCAATTTATGTAAATATGTATTACGAGGTGTTGAGGAGTTGCGCGGATGAGTACAATGTAAGTGGGTTTGGTTAATTATGATTTGATCCTTTGTATTTTTCTTTAACATCAAAGGGAAATCTTGTGATACAGCTGGACGGTGTACTCTTTTGCTGGGAGAAGATTTTAGAGAAAAATTATGCAACACTGGATGAGGGCGCCTGCATTGATGTTCTTCACGTCGCTGCGAAGTTTGGCAAACCACAACTTGCAGCACAGGTAATTGTTTATCTAACAGAACACCGAAACGTGTCACTGGAATCACACCATCTTGAACCGCTTTTAGAAGCCTTTATCGGTGACAATGATCTCAAGCAAGCCATGGATATGTTATCGATAATGCGTTCGTCTCAAATTGATGTCAGCCTCAAAAGTGCCGCCCCAATCGTCGACGCCATTCAGACGGACGTCGAATTGATTGACAAAGCGTATTACGCCTTGGAGGAACTTCACAAGGAAGGTAAAAAAGTCGACGTGGTGGCATTAAATGCTATTATCGTTGCCTGCCGAGATGTTCGCAAAAAAATTGATGCCAGCAGTTCGGAAAAGAATAACTCGACCAACACCAAAAAGTTTGTGTCTAATCCCGATGTTCATCGAGCGGTAGAGACATACAAGGCTGCCGAGAAATTGGAAGTTACGCCGGACGTTAATACATTCAACGCGTTGCTCAATGTTTGCGTTGCAGCGCAGCATCGAGAATTAGGTGAACAATTTTGGAAGGAAATGAAGAAGATGGGAATAAGGCCTACAATCGAATCATATCGTCGCATGATATTTCTGTGTTGCTCGCAACTCAACGATGATTACGAGGATGCGTTTATTTATCTTGAGGAAATGAAAGCACAGAATATGTTGCCGACTCCCACTATTTACGAACGGATCATTCGAAAATGTGTTCAGCATGACGACGCGAGAGCCAAGATAGCACTGGAGGAAATGGAAAACTTTGGATATAAACCTAGTCCTGCACTCCAAGATCTGTTAAGGTATGGAGGTCAGTCGCCGATTCTACAGAGGGAATGGGGACTTCGAAATATTGACAAGCAACACAAGCGGGGTGACATGTATCATGAAAATAACAACAGTAACAACCGAAATAATCCGTTCAAGTCGATGAACACGAAGATCGAATTGAGTGACCTGGATCAATTCTTTAGCACAATCACCAAAACGAAGATAGCAAAGAAGTGACCGTGAAGACATCGAAACCTCCATAGAATAAGAAGATAATACGTCCACGCAAATGTAAAAAAAAAAAAAAAAAGATTAATAAATTTAAAGATTAATTGTAAAGAAAAAAACTATTGTTTCTTTTTTTTTAAGTTTCGCAGAACGCAATTAAATGAAAATGTGCATTTAAAAAATATCGCGCAAAAAAACACAAACCTTCTTTATCACTATCACAACTAGCCCTTTCCATAGATCACGGGGCACTCAAAGTCGCGCATTGGATGGAAATCGTATTTTAATTTATGCATGCCGAGTAGTTCTCACAAGAATATTTGCGAAAAATTATTATTATAAGCAATCGTTATTTTAAAAATAATTTACTGTGGTTTGTCTTTGCTTTTTTTTTCTTGCAAAATTCTTCCATTCATTTCTTTAATAATTTTTTACATACATACAATTCCAAAGTATAGCAATAAGTTACTTTATTTAAAATTAAACTTAAATTCTATTTCTATATTTTTAATACATTTCTTTTTATTTGATCCTGATTAATGATAGGTCCTTAGAAGTATTTAGCATATAAAATTTGCAAATTACTTATGCCTCTTTTTAAGAAACAAAATTTATAGTTTTTTACTTTGGTAAAAACAAAATTCAGAAAATACTATAAATCAATGATTTAGGTAATAAAAAACTATTACATACAATATTTTTCTCATAAATTTTGATATTTTCTAGTAAAAAACATTTGACTTACTAGTTACAAAAAAATTATTCAACATATTATCACTCATGTAACATATGACAAAAAATAAACAATTTGATAAAAAAAATGACATAAATAAATCAACAATATATAATTTGATTATAAATATTACAAAAATTAATATATTCATAATTTATTAACAATTTATTAAAAAATTCATTAATAATTTGTCAAATAAATTGTTAACTATTTAGCAAAAATTCATTAACAATTCAATAAAGATTTATCACAAAATTATTTATTAGCAATTCAATAAAAATTCAGCATTAATTTATTAATAATTTATCAAAAATTTGTTAATAGTTTTTTGATAATTCATCAACTATTCATTAAAATTATTTATTAAAAAATTGTCAACTATTCATTAACAATAAAGTAAAAAAATTGATAAACTTATATATAAATTTTTTTGAATTGAAGTTATATTTATAAATTATATATATATATATTTTGAGTATTCATAGCCAGGCTAGATTGTCAGTTTATTAATCAATTGAAAACATAAGTATATTTTCATTCGATCAGTATGATACATATTATAGCTAAAGATGGATTTCTAAAAGGAGAGGTAAGGACAAAAGTCAAATGTTCCTTACTAGGAAAAATTAAAAATTTTAAATTAATAGCTATTAAAAAACTATTTACAATTGTTCTCTATTATCCAAATCATTAATTTATAACATTTTTTGACTTTGTTTCTATTAAAGTAAAGAGTTATGAATTTTGTTTTAAAAAGGGATATAAGTGATCTGCGAAATTTTATATACTAAATACTTTAGGGACTCATCATTAACTATAGCCAAACTATTATTCTAATCTAATTAACTCGTTATAAGTATAAAAGTTTCTAAGTTTAGTCTTGAGAACAATATTTAACTTTGCAGTATCTTTGGATAAAAACCCTCCTAGTCTATTGCATCATTGCTAACAGATTGTCACTACTATATATTGAATCAAGTTATTGGAATACAGAAAATTATAAAAGAATGAGTTGAAAAAGAAGGAAAAGAAGAATATCTAAAAATGTCTAAGCAGACAATAAGAAAATAAAAAAATAAAATTGAAAAAAATATTTTTAGCTTCTTTCAAAAATCTGCTTCTCAAGACCTCTTATCAATAAGAAATATCTGATTAGGATATTCTTTCTTTTTTTTGATCATTTGAGAAATTTATCCATTCTTGATCTTGATTTCCTTCTTGTATATCATATAAGGAGACTTATCGTCTAATGAAAACCTTTATTTCTAGAACACACTTTATTTCATGTCACTATCATATGTTGAATCAAGTCATTGAAATATAAGAAATTATAAAAGGATAAGTTGAAAAAAAAGGAAAAGAAGAATATCTAAAAATGTCTAGGTAGACAATAAGAAAATAAAAAAGTAAAAATTGAAAAAAATATTTTTAGCTTTCTTTAAAAATCTGCTTCTCAAGACTTCTTATCAATAAGAAATACTTGATTAGGATATTCTTTCTTTTTTTGATCATTTGAGAAATTTATCCATTCTTGATCTTGATTTCCTTTTTGTATATCATATAAGGAGACTTATCACCTAATAAAAACCTTTATTTCTAGAACACACCTGATCCCAATCTTTTTTGAACAGTAATTTTTTATTCACATATGGTTAAAGATGGGTCTTTAAAGGAGAAGGTAGAAACAAAAGTCAAATGTCCCTCACTAATAAACATTAAAATTTTTAAATTAATAATTATAAAAAAACTATTTATAATTGTTCTTTATTATTCAAATTATTGATTTATAATATTTTCTATCTTTTGTCCCTATTAAAGTGAAGAGCTATAGATTTTGTTTCTCAAAAAGAAACATAAGTAATCTGTGAAATTTTATATGCTATATACTTTAGGAACTCATTATTACCTATGGTAGAGAGACAATTTATAATGGATCCCAAGTTCTTATATGACCTAGTAAGAATTGGATCATATTGTTTCAGTATAATACCTTCCAGCAGCCACATCTAATTAAAGGAATTTTACTAGTATACATCTTCTATTATTCAAAAGGTTATATTTCTTAATAATCCTTTCACCTTGTAATAGTGATAGGATTTTGAAAGTGATGGAGATTCTCGTTGATTTCAATATCCTTCAACAACTTCTAAGGAAATGCATTCTTAACTATAATTAAAGGGTTGGAGCTTAATATGGACTAGAGACCGTTCAGTCTTATTGCCTAATTAGAATAAAAAGAAGACTTTGTTCTTAAACTTTGCCTGATTGGGATGATAGAAGAGAAAGACCTCAACTTGAACAAATAATAGCTTTTTTACTACCTGGAAACTTGTTGCTTATATTTTATTGACCTTATAGAACTTGATCTATAGATTAACTCAATTGGATGAATGAAGTGGACATGAGACACCAATCAACTCTTTTAATTATCAATGACATGATTAGAACATGTGAGGTAACCAGTAGGGGCTTGTTTACATTTAATTACTAATATGTTTCATATTAATCAATCAGATACCAGATAATATTGTGCTATCAAAAATTCAGGGTCAAACTGAGGTAGACAAAATTCCTCAAGAAAACCATGAAAAATAATAGATACTTTAAAAGGATACAAGGTAGTATGTGAGAAGGTGAATAATAAGCCTTCCCCTATTAACAAAATCTCTATTACTTGTTGCTTCTAGCTCTATAAGGTGACACTCCACTTGTCAGTCTTTTTACTTTCTAAAATCTTCTTGCTCTTAATAAAGGAAGTATATACTTAAATCTTTTTAGACCACTAAAAACCCAAGTTTTTATTCAAAAGAGTTTATAAACAAGTAAGGATGGGTAGAAAAAATACATAAAGACAAGCTTCAAGTTGTTTTAATAAAAATATAAAAATTTTATTAGCAAGGAAGTATAAAATTTCTTGTGAACATCTTTTTTGTTTATGGTCAAAAGATCAATGGAAAGAGTTTTTATATTTATAAATTATTATTATTATTATTATTATTATTATTATTATTTTAATCCATAGTCAGAGTAGTACTATGTGTTTATTAATCAATATGAAAATTGATAGAGATACATAGGACAATTGCATTATGGCTAAACTAAAAAACTTGTATTGACACACTCATCAATAGTTTTAATTCTCAAAAGAGCTTCAGCCTCTAAGTACAACCTTGAAAACAATATTTTGCTTTGGACTAAGTTTTGGGTAAAGACCTTCCTAGCTTATTCATTATTGCTAGCAGATTGTCACTACTTATTATTCTTCAAGGAACTGAATTTGAAAAACTACAAAAGGGAAAGAAAAAATAAAAGAAAAGGGAAATATCTAAAAATGTACAAATGCACTACATGAAAATAAAAAGAAAAAAGAAAATTAAAATGTACATATTCTCCAAAAGACCTCTACTAGAAACCTCTTCTTATTAGGAATCAGTTCTTCTAGAATATCCTTCTTCTTTCTGACTATCTAAAGAACTTATCCATCCATGCTCTTGATTATTTTCTTGTGACCATCTGAAGTACTTATCACCTACTCAGATCTAGTGTCTTGCTCAATACTTCTTTTTTTTGGTCTTGATTTTGTATCCACCCACATAAAAGAAGATAACTAATAGTGGATCCAGGTTCTTATATGACTTTTCAGTCTTGTTGAGTAATTTCTAATATCTTTCAGCAGCCACACCTAGTTAAAGAAATTTTATTGATATTTATTTTAATTGCAATATCATTATACAACATCTGGGGAAATGTATTCTCAATCCTAAAGAAGAGTATATTTCTCTGCTTTTTAGTCTTACATCCTAACCAAATAAGGAAATAATCTACTTTATGTACTTTGCTTGACCAGGATGATAAAAAGTTGAAGGTCTCGGCTTGAACAAATAACTACATTTTCATCATCTAGAGAATTTAGTGCCCATCCTAATGGCCTTATGATTTCTTTGCTTCAGTTAAACTTTATTTGAAGGAGTGGAGAAGTTCGTATTCTTGATTTCTCTTTTCATCACTAATAACATCATCAGAATATGTGAGATAATTAATAAGAGCTTGCTTACATTCAGTTACTAATGTGTTTCATGTCAACCAATCAAATGCCAGGTAATATTGTGCTACCAAAAATTTAGGATCAAACTGAAATAAGCAAAATTCTCCAAGAAAATTGTGAAAAACAGTAAGCACTTTAAGAGGGTATAAGATAGTATGTGAGAAAGTGAAAAATAAGTCTTCCCCTATTAACAAAATCTCTATTTCTTGTCACTTTTAACTCTGTAAGGTG